TGAGAGCAGATATGGGTATTTATTAGTATTTATAAATTCATTTAAGCTGCTGAGATAATGGGTAATCTAAGTAGTTACATTTAGGAAAATTGAAGTGAATCTGAGCAAGGCAGCATAAGACCTTCATCCTTCCACCTCTTTCTGGAACATTCATCAGTCTGGTACTGGCTCACTTGAAGTTTTGACCTTCGAGGGTTTTTTTTTTCCTAAGGCAGAGTCTTATGCAACCTAGGTTGCTTCGAATTCCTGAACCCCCTGCCCCAACCTCTCAAATTCTGAATCACAAGTGTGTACCACCATATCCACCTCAACCTTCAAGGTTTCCAGGGAGCGGCCCCTGCACTTCCATCCTGGTCCAGACAGACTTCTTATTTGTTGTATTGCAACCTACCTCCAGGGATGCCCTGTCTTCTGCTACCTCCAGTCCTGGGGGCTCCAGCTCTTGGTACAGACACAGGGTCCCCTTAGCTCTTTCCTGCCAACACTTTTAGGCCTTCCACTCTAGCTCATCTTCATTCCTTTGGGTCAGCTGCTGATCCCCGAAGCACTTTCTACCAGCTACCCCCAGTGGCCACACGGGGCTGGGATGCTGGTCAGTGATTTTCTCTATCCTTCCTGTCCTCCATTCTGGCCTCTCCAGAACTATTCTTGGCCCTCCAACTCTACCTCCACATCCTGAGGACCCAGCCTCTCAATGAGACCCCCAGTCACCCTAGCTCTTTCTCTCTGCCCCCTCTCAGCCTTCCCTCCTAGCCCAACTCCATGTGGCACCCACTGACCAACATAAGCACTCTCTGCCAGGGACACCAAGGTCATCACACTTAACTGCGATTCAGAGTGGGCAACAACAACCAAAGAATGGAACAACCCCACCCCCCCAACAAAGATAGGAGCAGACATTTCCACCAAGAAACACTTCAAACACTGTAACTCCAGATGCCTAGATCCCAGGACAAAAACATAAACATGAACAGCCGAGACAATATGCTTCCTTAAGAGCCCAGTAACTCCATTACAATAGGCCCTGAGAAATACAAGACAAGGATGTCAAAATAACAATTTTGTGAATTTGTTCAAGGATCTTAAAGAGGATAGGAATAAGCGCTTTAATGAAGACCATGAAAACACAAACAATTGAATGAAATAATGAAAACATTTCAAGACATGAAAGTAGAAATCGAATAACTAAAGAAAATTCAAACTGAAATAAAACACTAAGAAGTCAAACAAAAGCCTCAGAGGTCAGTTCACCAATGGCTTTGAAGACTTGGAAGAGAGAATCTCAGATATTGAAGACAAGGTAGAAAAAAATGGATAACTCATTCAAAAAATATAAAATCTAAAAAAGTCCAGGCACAAAACATTCAGGAAATCTGGGACATCACGAAAGGACCAAACCTAAGAATAATAGGGATAGAAAAAGGAGAAGAAACACAGGTCCAAGACCAGAAAATATTTTCAACAAAATCATAGAGGAAAATTTCCCTATCCTAAAAAAGGATATGCCTATAAAGGTTCAAGAAGCATATGGACCACCAAATAGATGGGAGCAGAAAAGAAAGTCCCTTGGCACATAATAATCAAAACACTAAGTGCACAGTACAAAAAAAAAAAAAAGAATATTGAAAACCGCAAGGGAAAATGCATGTAACATCTAAAGGCAAACCTATTAGAATATTACCTGAATTCTCAATGGAGACTCCAAAGGCTAGAAGGGCCTGGACAGATGTGCTACAGACTCTAAGAGACCACAGACGCCAACCCAGACTATTGCACCCGGCAAAACTTTCAATTACTATACATGGAGAAAATAAGACATTCAATGATAAAACCAATTTAAGGAATACCTATCTACAAATGCTGTCCAACGGAAGGTACTAAGAAGGTCAACTCCAACCTAAAGAGGTTAACTAACTACATCCAAGGAAACACAGAATACATTATCAGATTATGGAACCTCTCTGTGCTTCAATATTCATCCTTCAAGCCATTGGATATTGTGGTAGTTTGAATGTAATTGGCCCCCATTACCTCAGAGGGAGTGACACTATTAGGAGGTGTGGCTTTGTTGGAGTGGGTGTGGCCTTTTTGGAGGAAGTGTGTCACTGTGGGGGTGGGCTTTGAAGTTTCCTTTGCTGGATACCACCCAGGGTCTCAGTCAACTTTTTGATGCCTGCAAGTGTAGTACTCTCAGCTGCAGTACTGCGTGTGTTTGCATGCCGCCCTGCTTCCTGTCATGATGATAATGAACTGAATCTCTAAGAGAGACACCCCAATTAAATGTTTTCTTTATAAGAGTAGCTGTGATCATGGTGTCTCTCCGTAGCAATAAAAACCCTAAGACAGAAGTCTAGCTGGCATATGATTTTTCTATCAAACACCCTGTTGATTATAATGCTTATCTTGTGTGAAGTGTGTAAGCAATGTTTTCCTTGTCAATCACCGTGCTTCTCTGCAAGCTGTCTTTGATCACCTTGCCTAACTGCAAGAGTGAGATCTCTTGAAGTACCTGGCAGTTTATAGAATGGAAACAAGGCAGAGGGCCCTGTAGAGAAGCAGCAGGAGCCAAGGCTGCTGTGGAGGCGGGCAGAAGGAACCAGGTCCTGACCCTGGACTGTTCTTGCTTTCAGAACACCCCAGTGTGGATGTATGAACCTCTCCCAGTCATTGCCCGCAGTCTGTCCATTTCCAAGTTTGCACTGGCATGAAGGAAATTTAGTTGTGTTTCCGTTATGACTTCTAATGCCCTTCTCTCTGCACTGTTTCAGAGTAGGGTAGAAACTATATCTGCTACCCAGGTTTCCATAACAGGATGAAGCAACGGAAACCTGGTTTAGGGATTTGTTCTCTTGCCAAGATTACATAAAACAGAGAAATCTACCCAGAGGAACATGTGGTGTTTCCAGCAGAGCTCTGGGATTCTGGGAAGTCAGAACTCTGTTAAATGTGGATAAGAACTTAAATTCTACTTAGTAGATAACACTAAATTCATTAGATAACACTAACAACTGGTCCTGGTCCTGTTTGTGGCATTGGTCCACTTCCTAGGGACAAACTCTGTCTCTGCCCTGTTTGAGTTCCTGTCCTGGAATCCTCCAGTGATGAACAATGATATGGAAGTGTAAGCCAAGTAAATTCTTCCTTACCCAAGTTCCTTTTGGTCATGGCGTTTCATCACAGCAATAGAAACCCTAACTAAGACAACGCCTTCACTGAGCAGGTATGCTTAGAAACAAACAAGCAGGAGAATGTATTTGCCATCTGACAGCAGCAACAGACATATAAGTGCATAGATGAAGGAGATGTATGGAAAAATCAATGGGAGGATGAGGTTTGAGTACGTATTCACTCATTAACATTATTAATTTATGTGATGGAATTTCTAATAATAGTTGCATTTTAGTAATTTTCTTGAAACATTTAACAATAATTCCTAGAAGCCAGTGACAACATAGCCCTGTTATGAAGTAGATCAATATGATATATATATATATATATATCTATCTGTTGATTGTACCCACTAAGAAGCTTGAAGCAAGCACATGTAAAATTGTAACAGTAGCCTGTAATATTGGAGATCCTAAAAATGTAATATTAGTATCTGGAATATACAGAAAAATAAACTGTTAACACCCCAAGTATTTTGACCCTCATAGCAGATTCAAGGCAAAGGAAACAGAGAGATCAGGGAAGCAGTAACCATTGTCAGGTAGAGCTGAGACTAGAGCTGAGTCTTCGGACCTTCAGCTTACTCCTACCATCCTGTCTGTGTGACCTCTGATGTCATTGGAACAGCCACAGACTGTGCTCAACCCATCATATAATCTGGGATATGCTTGTCAGGGTTCATCCTCCTGTCTCAGTCTTGGCAACTCTCCTATCTTTACAAATAAAGAATGAAACAAAGCCAGAAGCCCAGGAGATGGCTTGTACAAACTTTGGTAACAGACAGATTTGAAGGCCTCCTAGAAGTTCCTGTCCCTGGATCCTGGGGATCTGGACAAACTTTGATGACAGCCAGACTTGAAGGGGAAATTCACCATGTAGGTCAAATTGATCTAAAACTTGCTTTAGATCCTCCTGCCTCAGACCCCAAGTGTTGAGATTATAGGTGTGTGCCACCACACCTGACTAAGAGTACTCTCAAATTCTTGACCCACAGATAACTGGAGAAGTCCCCAACGTTCTTACTGTTTTTAGTCACTGAGTTTTGGAGTACCTAGTTACACAATATTATGATTTGGGTGTAAAGTGTCCTTCAAAAGTTTCATGTGCTGAAGGAGTGGTCCCTAAATGGTAGTGGCAACTAAGAAGTAGCTGGATCATGAGGATACAAACTTCATCTATGGATGAATGAATCCATTGATAAATTCAGGCCAGAATGAGCTCTCAGGAAGTGAAGCTTGGGTTAGAAGCACTATCCACGGGGTGTGGCTGTGAGGAATGTGTGTTGTCCCTGGACCCTTTCATTTCTGCTTTTCCTTGGCTGTCTGAATGGAGCAGCCTGTCCTGGGGCTCTTGCATGGCACTTCCATTTTTCACAGGCCTAAAACCAATGGACCTGCCGGGCAGTGGTGGCACATGCCTTTAATCCCAGCACTCGGGAGGCAGAGGCAGTTGGATCTCTGTGAGTTCGAGGCCAGCCTTGTCTACAAGAGCTAGTTCCAGGATAGCCTCCAAAGCCAAAGTGAAACCCTGTCTTAAAAAAATAAGCAAACAAACAAACAAAAAAAAACCAAAACCAAACCAAAACAAAACAAAAAACAAAAACAAACAAGCAAACCAAAACAACGGACCCAGCTGACCAGGACCCAAGCTCCAGGGCACACTCAATAGCAAACAAACTTCATTTCTCTCAGAGCTTCACCATCTGAGGTACCGGTTCTTCCAAATACGGAGCTGTTGGGGAGGGGGCCCTCACAAAGCACCTCGAAGACTTTTTGGTTCTCTTTTCATCAAAAGAAATTGAATTTCAAGCCAACAGCAGAAAGCTTATGTAAAACACGACATTTGAAATGCATTTTATTGTTAGTGCTTCTGTAGAAACCTATAATACAGAGGAGAAAACACAAACAACAACAACAACAACAACAACAAAAAACCCGCACTCTGTCTTACATGGCCTGTGCAATTACAAGGGACGAGGCAGCTTGAAGTGGAACAATGTTCACCTAACAACAAGGAGCATCATCCTCCAACCTTCCGATGGCATTTTTAGCCACTTTTAATTCTTCTGTGTCTCTTTTGGAAAGGTGCAAGTGGTACACATTAAGAAGGACATTCATTATGAAGGGAGGGGACAGGGGTTCCACCTGCTCTCCCCAATGGGAGTCTTAAGAACACCTGCAGGAAGCCAGCTGCAGACACTCGGGGACACTGGGAGGTTTCTCCTGTCTCCACCCGCTGAAGTTCGCTCTTATCTCCACGCAGAAGAAGAACCGCGGCGCTCGCAGATCTGGTCCAAGAGTTCCGGTGCTTCTGGGGAGTAGCGGAGGCCAGGCGGACGGCAGCGGAGCTGGGGACCCGGGGGCGAGCGCGCAGAGCCTTTCCAGGCGAAGCAGCGCGCACCGCCCGGGCGGCGCCCAGCATGGAGTGGGAGCTGAATCTGCTGCTCTACCTGGCGCTCTTCTTCTTCCTGCTCTTCCTCCTGTTCCTTCTGCTCTTCGTGGTCATCAAGCAGCTGAAGAACTCGGTGGCCAACACGGCCGGGACGCTGCAACCCGGGCGACTGTCACTGCACCGGGAGCCGTGGGGTTTCAATAACGAGCAAGCGGTGTGACCCAGGGCTCAGCTGGTCTCAGCTCCGCGGGGATCCAGGTACACCCCTCGGGAGCGGGAGCGGCGGCAGGGAACATACTGTGCTCCTCCCCGGTCTCCGGACCCGCTGTAGGGCAGGGGACCGCGGGGACAGGAATCTGGCCCCGGAGCAGAGTCCTAGAGCAAGCCTGATCCCGGGAGAGACGTCAGTTTGGGGGCGAGAATGGTATGCACACCTGCGAACTCTTTCTCGCAGACCAACTGCATTTGTATCTAAGGGTGGGAAATACTATTATTCAGCCAACTCAGCTCAGCCATTTCAACAAAATTATCCAAATTCCACTGAAGAGAGTGAGCTTTGCTTTGAGAGGAGTTTCAATGGTGGTGCCCAGGGGAGATGATTCAGTGACCTGTTGGGGGTGGGAGATTTCCTCCTACTTTTGATTGCTACTCCTAGTCTAGCCTGGTGGGGTGTCAAATGTGGGTTTAGACCCGGGGACAGCAGAGGATGAATATGAGGATGATTCGTTGGAAAATGACCTTTGGTTACGGCCCGGACGGCAGTCAAAAGGGGCCACTTTGCGTAGTGTAGGGTTAGAAGAAAGAGCTGGTGTGAAGGGAGAGGCCTGTTTGTGGTTAATGTATCAGACCTCTTGGAAAAGGCTGAGCGTCAGAGGAAAACTCCCCTGTGCATCCTAAACAAGGTCAGACAATGTAGTTTGAGACATCATTTCATCCCCCATATCTATCCCTTTTCCTAGATCTATGTCATTTGGACCCAGGCTGGTGCCCATGACTGGTGGCACCCAGGACCAAACTCCAATCACAACCGGGGAACCCCGCAAAGCTGGACAGTGGGCAGTGAAAATCTCCCTGAGAAAGGTATGTTGGGGCCTCTCCCTCCGGTCTAGTGTCTCAAGATCCAGGGCCTATCAAAGAGAAGGGTTGGGGTGTAAGAAACAGGCACCCGAAGTTGAAGTTTTCTGCTCTGAACTGGAGAGCTTCCTCCAGAACCAAGAAGCCAAATCTTTGACTTTGCAAAAGTCAAAGAAGAGACTGAGGCTTATGGGAATTAGAAACAGAAGCCAGGAGCATTTGCAAATCTAATAGGCACCCCACCTTTTGAAAATAGTACAGAGATGCAAATGTGATTTGTCATCAATAGGGAAGGTTTGGGGTTAATCTTTTTAGGATGGGACAGGCTATGCTATGGAAACACTAATTTTACACACACACACACACTCATACTCACACACTCTCACACACATTCACACACACACACTCACACACACACACACACACACACACTCTCTCTCTCTCTCTCTCTCTCTCTCTCTCTCTCTCTCTCTCTCTCTCACACACACACACACACAGAGTTAAAACCCACAACATCTTATTTTGTCTAGCCTGATCCTGATGATGCAGAAACTTCACAGAAGGGAACGGTTGATAATTTAAGCAAAAGCCAAACCAGACCTGTCTAGGTAGGTGATTGGCTGGAGACAAAAGTTGATTCCTACATATTTGATGTCGTTTTGTCACAATAAAGCTGGCCTTAAAAGAAGACAGTGGTTTATTTTAGCTCTTATTTCCTGAGTAAATTCTTGTCTCCTATCACATCTTCATCAGAGCTATAGTGAGGCTTGATTTCCATTTCCAGTCTTAATCCCAAACTTAGCAGCCGTGAATCTGCTTTGTGATTTGAACAATAGTTTTCTAATTAGCTGATGTCTATGCAGAGATGTTTTGCTACCAGGTTGCACAGTTAATATAAACATGGACAATGGACGTGGGAGCAACTAATGAACAATACGGTTGTTTATAAGGACAGAAAATAATCATTTCATACTTTGTAAATAACCAGAATATAAATTGTTTTAGCCACCAGCTTGGCTTCTTGATTTTGTAATATTTTCATTCTCCTGGCAATCCTGGGATCCCGGGGTCCAGGAGTGTAAGTCACCTCTTCATTGATTAGAGAGAACAGAAAACTCAGGCATCTCAGTACTGAGCTGGTCTCTCTGCAGTTTTATATACAAGTTGCTAAGAAAGGAGTGGCCATGCTATTACCACCGCACTAACTAAGTTAATTTGTTAATTACCACGTTCTAGTTTATGTAGCCTGCCCAGGGTATTTATTCTTCTGACATCTACTGGAAAGTAGTTCTAAAACACAGGAATTAAGATTCCTCACATTGGTCTGGAGAGATGGGATCAAAGGCACTGGCTGCTCTTCCAGAGGCCTTGAGTTTAATTCCTAGCAACCACCAGGTGGTTCACAACCACCCTCTCCTGCCCTGCAAGCATACATGCAGGCAGAACACTGTATGCATAATAAATTTTAAAAAAAACAGAAAGAAAAAAATGATTCCTCACGTCTGCCCTCAGAGAGTGTTGGTGGCATCTTCTGCCCTGCTCTCTAGTTAGTAATTCTGCCTTGGAAAATTCGACATCTGTAGAATCGCCTTTTCTAATTCTTTTATCCAATCACCATTTCCAAGACCCAGCACAAAGTTGATCCCTCACAGTAGAGATACTTTTTGTTCATTTGTTTTCTGGAGTCAGAGTCTTGCTACATAGCCTGAACTAGCCTGGACTTACTATGTAGTCTGAGCTAGCCTGAACTTGCTTTGGGGGCCAGATTGACCTTGAATTTGTCATTCTGCCTCCCAATTCTGGTATTGCAGGAGTGTGCCACTGTGATTGATTCAAAAAACTACATTTGAACTAGCTCTAATGTGCTGACATCCACAAAACTCCCGCATGTCTGGATTACTAAATTCATTGACCTGGTCCTAATAGCCTTGAATTCTAATACATGTATGAATAAGACATGTCTCACTACAGAGTCTAGGCTGCCCTGGAACATACCAGCTGCCTGGTTCATCCTCCTGATGAGGATGTACCACCACGCCTGGCCAATCATATTTTGAAAAATGAGGTAAATATGAATTAGTAAAAAGCATTTGGTAAGTTAGGAACATTTAAAAAGCAGCTCATTTTATTATAATTTATTTATTATTTTATCATATTTATTATAATTTATAAATTATTGTTTCATTTTCAACAAGAATACTTCACAAAGCTTAGAAGGCAAATTTCTTTCATTATGAGTCATAGTGATGAAATGCATTATTAGTATTTTATTTCAAATGTTGCTGTTTAATACTTAGATCTAAATTTTAGCTGTTTAAAATAACTTTATATCTTATTAGGACAATCTTGGTTGTTTGCTCATTTCCAAACTTGTAATCACAATGAGTCTACAGCTTTGACTAGAGGAAATCATTCTAAGTTGAATGAGAATGATGTCACACTCCCATTTGCAAAATCTAAAATGTCTGATAAAGTAGGTTCCCCATGCCCGTACTTCAGTTGCAGGGCACAGGTGTGACTGTGGGCCTGATGCCATCTGGTGCAGTCCTGCAGCATGGGGCATCTGCCCAGAGCTCGCCCTGTGCACGGGCTTCTGGGGAAGACAGGATTTGTTTTTGGTTCATTGCAGAGGTGGGAACTTGGAACAAGGTATACCAGCAGCACGCAACACCCTATTTTTAATGTGACATTCTACGTTCCCAGTTCCGCCTAGCTTCAGACTAAGTGCACTAGAATTCAATTATAAACGAAGAGAATTTTGAGCATTGTGAATGGTTAAGCCATTTAAGGATAGTGGGAAATGGTTTTTTTCTTTCTAAGTCATGATTTAGAGACTTTTAGAATTCTAGTTATACTAATGCAGAGTTCTGTACTTTGAAAATAACTTTTGCAGCTAGCTTGTGGTATTTGTGCTTATTTAAGCTAAATCTGCAATGAAAACTCTAAGGTCACTGGAATTGGTCAGGTATCTGTATTACACAGAAGGGCAAGTTAAGTGGTTGATGTACTGGGCTTTAGATTGTTTTGTTTTTTGCTTGAATCAGTTACACAACACAAATTCTTCAAATATCCTGCTGCTACTCTGTTTACATGAATGAATAAGGACTCACATTAAACGCTAGTCTAGTGAATAGTAAACAATTGGCCCTTAGGAAGCTGGGAAATGACCACTGCTGCCATGTTTGGAAAGAAATCAGAAAGTTGGAAAGAAATCAGAAAGTAACAAGCTGAGGAAAAAACCTCCTCTTGGATCAAGCTAAAAAAAAATCCTTCCTGTGTTTTGCAACAGCAGATTCTTTGTTTAAGGACCCAGCTCACCTCGGCCCTTCTTGGCCTATCTCACAGATTCAGAATAACCGGATGGGTCCAAGTGAATGATCTCTACACTCAACCTTTGCTTTGCTGGTGTTAACGCTCCTAAGTTACTTGAATTTATTACACAGGTCTGGGATCTTTAGTCAACATTGTTTTACTATAGGAAGAAATCATATTCTCAGTTGAGAATCAAGAGGGATTGTTTTTTCAATGAAGTAAGAAGTTACTAAACAGGGGCTTGAATAAATTAGGGGTCTTGTGATTGATCATGTAACTCACACTTTACATGAGGCAATGAGGATTTTTCCAGGTTCTGATATGGTCTCCATGGCTCCCCACAAGGAGAAGGAAGCTGGAAGGAAAAACAGAGCACGCCAGTCTGGATCCACGACTTTCTAAAGAGACTCCCATTGGCTAGAACTATGTCACTGACCACTGTTCTCTGTAGGGTTCTTTAATGCTATGTTGTTGTCTTTAACCAAAACCTGAGCTCTTTAGATAAGAGCAATGTGGGTGGACCGGGGTGGACAACCAGATGTCTATGCCCTGGCTACAAAGCACAGCTGTGCAGAAATACAGTGTTAAGAAAGCTGAAGCTTGTTCGAAGACAGATCAGGCACCAGAGTGACCTCGAGTGATCTAAAGGGATAACACCAATTGGCAAGCTAAGCAATAGTGGAGGGACCACCTCGAATGCCCATCCCTGATAATGAACTTGATGTCTATAACCATCCGGGAGCCTTCATCCTGTGACTGATGGAAGCAGAGGCAAACACACAATTAATCACTGAACTGAACCCAAGGAACCCAGTGACAGAGAGAGAGGAGTGATGAGTAAATTGGCAAAGAATGGGCTGGCAAAACCAGCAGAGACAGCTGATCTGAACAGGGGAGAGCTCTTGGACCCCAGACCGACAGTGGGAGGCCAGCATGGGACTGATCTGGACCCCCCAAATGTGAGTGTCAGTGAGAAGGCCTGGGCAACCTATGGGGCCCTGAGCTGAGGATCAGCATCTATCCCTGGTATACAAACTGTCTTCGTGTGCCTATAGCACAAAGAGAGATGCTCTCTCAGCCTGGACTCTTAGGGGAGCGCCTGGACCCTACCAAGAGTAAAATGACAGACTCTAGATATCCCCTATGGGGAAGGATTTGGCAATGGGGGGGGGAAGGGGAGTGCGGGAGGAGGGGAGGGAGAGGGAACTGGGATTGACATGTAAAACAAGCTATTTAAAATTAAAATAAAAAATGATTAAAAAAAAAAAGAAAGCTGAAGCTTGTGGTTCCATCCCTCCCACCTTGTGGGGGGTGTGAGGACACACTTCCAGGTGATATGGCTGAGCAGAGAGAGGTCTCCTTAGTTCTCAGGAAAAGCTTGTCAGGTCTGGTTTCCTCTCTGGGCAGCTGACTTCCCTGCGCCAGAATTTTCTAATCGAGTATCCTGGAAGCCTTCACATTTGTGACTCTATGTGTGTGTGTGTGGGGGGAGGTGTGGGTCTTCATGCTCTCTTCATGGAGCTTTGGCGTGGGAATCAATGTAGGTTGTTTTCTTTTGCTCCTTTTTGGTCCCCTCCACCATTTTCCTGTTAATTAAATTTTGGTGGTAACCACGTTTTTGTCTTTGATTCCCATAAGGCCATCCCTTGCATACGCCGAGGAAGGCACTGTGCTCAGAAACGCTACCTCTCTTCCTTCAGCCCAGGAACATCCTGGGAGATCGCCTCTCGAGCTGTTTCTACTCACAGCCTACGTACTGGCCAGGCAGAGGGAGAAGAAACACTTCCCACACCCAGAGCTGTGCAAAAGAACTTTCTGTGATGTGGAGCTGTTCTATATCTGTGGCGCCCAACACGGCAACCACTAGTCACATGTGTCTAGTAAACACTGAAACAGGGCTAGCAGCGCTTCAGTTTTATTTAGTCTCACCTGAGGCAGCCACATGGGGATGGTGGCTTTTGTATGTGCTGTTCATACCATTCTCCCTTGCCTGTGTTTGGGAATCAGAAGGGGAGGTGGCAGCTAGCCATGTGCCCCACATCCCATGGGCCTCACTGCTCTTCTTACATTAAGTTTGTCCCCTTGAGGAAAAAGAAGATTAGTATGTTGGAACTAAATTGAAATGCTACCATCTATCTGTTGCATGTCTTCTTATACCAAATGGGATAGGTTTTGGTGACAAATGATCATGGAAAAAATGGCAGTGCTGGGCCATGACATCCCTTGACCCCAGTTTATGTTCCCGACAGAGGTCATTCTGTCTAGTGCAGTTTATTCCATTTTAGTTCACTTTTTAATACTGTAAATGCCAAATGATTATTTTGTGTATGTTTTTCAAAGTATCTAATGGTTTATATTTTTAAGGTTGTGATATAAAAAGTAATAATTACATGTAGCTCGTTTTTGTGTGTGTGTGTGTGTATTTTTAGTAACTTGTTATTATCCAAACTTTGTTGTACTAATTAGGATATGGTTAATAAATAGAAAGAGATGTTGATTTTTATATGATTTCCCTTTTAATGGACAAGTTTCTATGCCAATGAATGTTACCTTTCAAAACCATTAAATGGTTCTTCTGTTATGTTTGAAGTTTGAGTAAAGTATGCTGTCTCCACCTTGGCTGTTTGGGCTGTTGTGTGGAGTTGTAGGAATTGTTAGAGTGTCCCAGACATGTTCCCTTAACAGACACATGCTTTGCAGATATTTTCTCCTACCTGTGGTCAATCTATGGATATGGTCAAAAATATTTTTTCCTGAATATTTTCCATTTATATCAAATCAGTGACCAAATACATCATAAAACTGATAAAAACAGGCACTTTTTAGACTTCACTCCAGATTTAACAGACTCTTCACAGATTCTTTGTACTGAGTGAGGATCTCCTCGTTCTCGCCCTCATTCTTGACTCGAACTACACACTTCTGGTAGTCTTCAACCTCCCTGCTCGGTGCCACACTGCTGTCGGCAGCTCTCCTCTGCAGCAGGGTCTGGAGAACATTTTTCTCCGAGGAGCTATTTTCCCACACACACTCCTCCATGTCTTCCTCAGTCCCATTTTCTCCCCATTCTTCAGTTTTCCACGCCTCGTGGTACAGGACTGTGAGGAGATACAGCACATAGTCATAGTTGTGCCTCTTCACAGGGCATCTGTCTCTGGTGACAGTGAGGACATCAGCGGTCTTGCGGAACCGCTCTCCTGCAAGTTTAATGCGTTTCTTCTTTCCATGGCTGTCTAAATTCAAACTTGAAAGTTTAACCCTTAATGTTACCACTCGTGCTTTGGGGTTTCGAATAGATGGTCCTGATGACGCAGAATCAGCGGCGTCAATCTCAGTTGGAAAATGCTTCTCACATTCCTCATCACAGTCTCGTGCAGCCGTCCACTCAGGGCAGAAATCGTCTAGAGCTTCACGGTGCCTTTTAATCCCCAGAGGAGTCAAATGCAGAAAATTCGGGATCTTTAAAAGCTTTCGGTTCCCCTCCTTTGCCATGGGCACGCCCTTCTTTACTGGATACCCCATTAGAACAGGCATTGGAGCAGCAGAGGGTTTAAATGGCGCCGCAACAGGGTAAACACTGGGCCAGTCTAGGTCAACATCCATCTTCTCTGTCCTAGGAGATAGAGCCTTTCTCGGGCCCGCACCCCCGTGGCCCCAGCACAGGATCGCCATGGCTGCAGGAAGGCGAGCCAGAACGGAGACTCGCCACCGGAAGGGACAGGACCGGTCAAAAAAAAAAATATATATATACATATATATACATACATATACATATATATTTAAAGGTGTATTTTTAACTTATTCACTTTTTGTTAACTGCTTTCTATGTCCTCTTTAGAAGACATTTGCCGACCCTGCTCCCACCCAGGTTACCAAAAATATTCCGCTGTTTTCCTCTATGCTAGATGTATAGTTTTGTTTGTTTGTTTGTTTTTAGTTTTTTGAGACAGGGTTCCTCTGTGTAGCCCTGGCTGTCCTGGAACTTGCTTTGTGGTCTGGCTGGCCTTGAACTCACAGAGGTCTCCTTGTCTCTGCCTCCAGAGTGCTGAGATCAAAGGTATGCATGCACCACCACACCTGGCTTGGAAGTATAGTTTTAACTTACACTAAGTTTTCTTGAATTGAGCTTTGCATATGGTATGTGATAAAGAATGATTTTCCCTTTTCATATAAATAAACCAGTTTTCCTCAAAAATTTCCCATCTCTATTCCTCCTTCCTTTCTCCCCCCATTCTTTCTCTCCTCCCTCCTTCATTTATTGAACAAACTTTACTCTCCCCACTGAATCACTGTGTTGCCATCATCAGCATCCAATGAGGACTTAGAGTGGTTCTCTTACTGGTCTTTTCTGTTCCATGGGGCCCTCTCTCTAAATGCCAGTGTCTTAGTCCCATAGTAAGTCTTGTTGCTCACTATAAGTATCATAACTGGAATCATCAATACAAGCTCCTAGTCAAAGGCTGGGAGAACACTCTAGGACGCTTGAATATTTTGAATTGAAATAGACAGAATCAAGAAAAGTCCAGTGGAGACTAGGCTTCCTTCATTTAAATCTAAGTCCTGATCTATGGTTGTTTCTTGGTCAAGAAGGGTGCCTCACTGTCCTGTTGGTCATGGAAGACAAGAAAGAAGTCCTCTCTTTACGATCAGTACAGGTGGGGGCAAGCAGCTTCCAAGCTCTGAACTCAGCTCAGTGATGAAAGTGTCTGCATTGTGCAAACTGCGTTTATCCAGTCTATGAGGAGAGGTTCCCCTGCCCATGCTATGTACACTGCTCTGTCATCTTCATTTGAAGTTGGGCATGTTCAGTTAAAGATAACAGCCAGTGCCTTACCTTACTATACATTCACAAAAGTGACTGAGGACTGAAGGGTATCAAGGAAGGGGCTATATTTTTATGTTTTCACAAACAGAGGCAGTGTATCCATCTGTCTACCCATGCCAACTCTCCCTTTTGAGGATCTTTTCTTCCAGAAGCATGATGTATAGAGGAAAGCTTTGCTGTTACAGGCATTCATTGCATGTTTAGTGTGAGCACTGGTAATTTCTCTCTCTCTTTTATTTTCTTTTGTCCGTTGCCCATATCTTTGTAGTAGCATGCTTTAGTTCGTCATTGGTCCTTTAATGATACTTTCTCTGGGTTTGTCCGAGGATTTTATTTATAAGTAGGAACACAATAAAATGAAATATTTCTCCATTCTCATTAAATTCCATCATCCTAGCTACTGGATTCTGGCTTTGTTGATGGTGGTGTTTTGTTTGTTTGTTTAGATATGGTCTCAGTGTGTAACATATACTGACAGTATGCTTATGGCAAGCCTCCTACTTCACACAGAGCACCACGTAGCCCTTTGAAATAAACCTGTGATTGACGTATGTATAGCTACATTGGTGTCTGCCTGGCTTCCGTTAAGAGTCACTGCAGCTGTTTTAACAAGCTGATGTGACATGTAGGGCCATTACTGCACCGGGAAGAAGTTCCACTGCCCTAAAAGTCAGTGCTCCATCTCTCTTTCTCTTCCCCTCTCCTGAAGCCCCAGGCAAGCACTACTCAGTTCACTGTCTCCAGTTTTCCGGAGATGCAGCCTTTTTTCAGATCCCCCCCCCCCAGCAATATGCATTCAAGCATCTTCTGAGTCTTGCCACGGACCAAGTGTGCATTTCTCTTTACCTTTCTATCCTAGTTTGTTCATTCACCCACTGAAGGACATCTTGCTTGCTTTCAAGTTTGTGCAGCTACGGGTAAGCTTTCTGTAAATTCTTCCGTAGGAGTTGCTGTGTAGACAAAACTTTTAGCCTTATTTGGGTAAGTATCATGGAGCAAGCCTGTAACAGTGTGTGGTAAGTCGATCTTTAGTTTTGTAAAATGCTGTCTAACCTTTCCAACAGGAGTTCCAATTGCTCTGTGGTTGGAATGTCTTCACCACCATCCACTGCCACTGCTGTATATATTTTCACACTCATTTATTTATTTATTTAGTAGGGAAAGGGGCGGGGTCCATGCCACGGTGCATGTGTGGAGGTCAAAGGATGACTTGTAGGAGTCAGTTCTCTCCACATGGGTCTCAGGCCATCAGATTTGGTGGCAAGTGCCTTTCACCAGTGAGCCATCTCGCCAGCCCCCAGCTTTCCGGTGTTGATGGTCAGGTGTCGCATCTGCCGCGCAGCCTGTGTCTGACCACAGTCAGGTGTGCAGAAGTGTGGCGTTGTTTCAGTCTGCAGTTTCCCTGGCAACATATGAAGCTGAGCATCATCCCACATGCTCATTTGACATTTGTTTACCTTCCTTGCTCGGGTTTATCTTTAGGCCTTTGGTCTATTTTAAATTTGACTGGTTGTTTTCTTACTGTAAAATTTAAGAGTTAAGACTTGATGCAGGGGGAGGAGTTTAGTCCTGGCTCAACTTGATATGCCATGCTTTGTTGATTCCTATGGGTGGCCTGTCCCTTTCAGAATGGAGAAGGAAGGGATGGGGGAAAGGTAGATAGGTGGTGGGGGAAGGGATCAGGAGGAGAGGAGGGAGGGGAAACTTTAGTTGGTATGTAAAATAAAACAAATGAAAAAATTTAATAAAAAATTTGAGTTCTTTTTATATTATATCCTTTCTTAAACTGATTTGTGAGCATTTCTGCTTCACCACCCCAGACTTGTCTTTTTATTCTTTTTACAGTGTCTTTTGAAGAAGTTTCTCATTTTGATGGAATCAGTTTATCAGGTTTTTCCTTTTGTAGATCATGATTTTGGAGTTGCATCCTGGACTCACTGTCAAATTCAAGGTTATCTGTATGTTCTCTTCAGCAACTTTAGAGGTGTTTATTTGTATTTTTTTTTGCTTAGATCTGTAAATCATTTTGAGTGGAATTTTATGAAAATTATGAAATATGAGCTGGGTGATGGTAGCACACACTTTTAATCTCAGCACTTGGAAGGCAGAGGCAGGTGGATCTCTGTGAGTTTGAGACCAGCCTGGTCTACAGAACAAGTTCCAGGACAAACTCCGAAGCTACACAGAGACACCCAGTCTGGAAAAACAAGACAAAGAAGATTATGAAACATGAATCCAGATATTTCTTTTTTTTTTCTGGTTTCGATTGTGGATGCTCATTTACTCCAGTGTCTTTTATTGAAAAGACTCATGGATTTTCAAAATCAAGTATGTCATCTGAAAGTAAATCTGTCTCTCTTTGTACTTCAAATTGCTATCCATTAATCTGTCTGTCTGTGTGTCATCTGTCTGTCTGTCTCACCTGATGTAGTCCAAGCTGACCACAAACTTACCACGCATTCAGGACGGACCTGCTCCCCTGCCTCCACACGCCCTCCCAGGGTGAAATTCCCCAGGGCTGGAATTTTAGGCATTCACGGCCACACTCAGCTTTGTTTACAGTTCTCTCACTTAACAGAAATGATGGTCATGTTTTGAAACTATTAAATATTTAAGCTCTCTGTGGCTTAGGTTATCGATCCTGCCAATGACTGCGGGCTGAGGGCTGCTTCCTTGTTACTGCTGGGTTGCAAATGAGAACTCAAACGGATGCAGCAAGCAAAGGACTACGTGTTGACCTGCTGGATGAAAGACCCAGAAATACATTTAGCTATGGCAGAGTCCTAAATGAGATCAGGAGCCAGACTTCGTGGCGCTGCCTTTAATCCCAGTGTAGCTGCTTCTTAAAAGTTCACACCCACCGGTGTCACTGCTACTAATGCTGTTCTGCTGATGAGGAAATTTACTCAGGGTAGAGACGACATCCTTTACCCAAGGTCAAGGTCTAGAAGCAGCCTCACCCTCTAACTAGGGAGCCTAAGGCAGAGGACAGGCATCATTGAAAGTCCTGCACAGGCCCCAGGGTCTTAGTCAAAGAGAAGGGAGAGACTCACTCAGGCTACACACCACCAAGCTGAAACGTGCCACTCCTCTGACTTGGCAAGACAGCAGCCATGTCTCCTTAACAGACCGATTTAAATCAGAACAATAAAGATGCTCTTTGTGTCTTACTCCTTGCATGAAAGAAACAATGTGAAATTCCCCGATGCTAGCTAATCAGTTGTTTTCATGTTCTCCCATCTCCCATCCCGTCTCTGCATCACAAGCAGGGTAATTTTGAAACGGCCAAAGCCCTTTTTGTTTTTGTTTTGTTTGTTTTGTTTCTGCTTCCTTCAAGCTCTTTCTGTTCATAGAACCAGTCTGTTCAGCTCATTGGAACACAATTCTGTTTTACAGAATGAATGTGGTCTGATTCTAGACTTCAAAGAAAAACCATAGAGAGATTCAAAGGTCATCACATTCCAGTGTTTCTCTCAGATCACCTGGCAGCTCCCTCAGTCATGTTTATCAAGCTTTGTTCCAGACACTGCTTAAAATGCTGGGGAGGCAGTGTAAACAGGCAAATGAAGTGTGTGTGTGAAGACACCACACACACACACACACACACACACAGAGCACTCACGTGTTCAAATACGTATGTGCTTGTATGGATACACATGCATGTGGAAGTTGAATGTTGACATGGGATACTGTTCCTTGGTTGCTGTCCAACTTGCTTTTTGAGACATCTCTCATTCACTGACATGAACCTTACTAATTAGCCTAGACTGGCTGTTAGTGAGCCCCAAGGATTCACCTACTCCTACCTTCCTAGCACTGAGGTTATGATAATACTGAGACCACTGTT